AATGTTTTGTGTTACCAGCTGAGGCTGCCGATAAAGAGGGCACAGGGTCCCAGGCGTGGTACGGGTGGTGTGTATGAACATTGTCTCTCTTAGACACAAGAGCCTGAATCTCTCTCTCCACCTCGCCCCTGATCACTGCAAGTTTCCTTCCAAACCTGGGAACACACACACACACACACACACACACACACATTGAAATACCCCTGCATGCTTATTCTGGGCACTTTACTAGAATAAACGGAGAGCAGATGCATCGCTACCGTGTTTCCAGGGCTTTGAGGCTCTTGTTGCGGGGCTGCTGTTCCAGACAGCTGACTGCAGGGTTGCCAGCAGTGGGCAGGGTCATGGCACTCAGCACCAGGCTGGTGATGGCCTGCACCGCTAACACATTCAACTGGGTACGCTCCAAGTCCTCCTGGAGACAAAAGGAGGAACAAAACAATGAGTCCGATGGGAAAGATGGACACTATGCTAATGCGTCCGAGGTGCCATGGTTCTTTGATGCTCACACGCTGAATTCACACAAATGCTTTCTCTTTAAGTGCTTCTACAAGAGTGATGAGTTCTGCAGTCGTATCGACCTCACAAACCAGCAGTACATTTAAGGATGTGAACAACGTCTTTGTGCGTGTACCTCCTGCTGTGCCTCCTCCTCCTGGTCCATAGTGATGGGTTGGGTGACCAGCACCCCCAGCAGTGTGGCCCAGGTCTCCTCAAACTGAGTCCTGCTGCTCCAGCCTAAACACAACAAAACCATTCACGTGTCAGAAAGTACAGCAATGCATCCTTCATAATCTTGGTCAATCAGATACTGCACTTCCATCATATGACTGTGTGTGTTTCTGTACCCAGTGTGTTGATGCGGTAGAGGAACTCTCTGAAGACGTCCTTTTCCTGCAGGAAGTCCACCGGGATCTCGGGCAGCGTGGTGCCGTACTCTCCTCCTGGCTGAGGGGACCAGCCCAGTTTCCAAACCTAAACACACACACACATCATTTTAATAGACCAATATATGCATGCGTACAAATTGGAGGCATAGTATTTTTCACACACTGACCAGTGGAGGTACTCGGGTGTAGCTGTTGACCAGAGGCAGGCGGGACAGACTGATGACAATGTTGCGCAAGGTCGGTGTGAGGAAAGCGGGGAATGCGCTGTTTCTATGGTGACCCAGGGAGAGGATGCTCTGCAGGCCTTCCACCAGCTCCGCCATGATCTCACACACCCGCCACTCGCACGTGTCTGCAACACACAGGTGAACGCTTTGGGGGATATTTGATGGCAAATTCGACTCAGAAGAAATGACACCGTGAGACTTTAAACAGCGTTGTTAAGCAAAGCCTTGAAATACCAAATAACATAAAATGACGCAGCAGTTTTACAGAAACTCCCAAGTGCTCACGGTCAGCATGCGCAGAGTCAACTTCATCTTCTTCAGCCTCTCTCTCGGCCTTCGTCTTTTTCTTCTCTGGATGCAGAAGCTGGTCACCAGGACTCACAGCCACTGGGAGGCCGAGACAAAACGTATGACCAGCATTGAAATGACACATTATAATGTTAAGGGACAGTTCAACCTCTAACTGTAGTACTATTCATCAATCTAGATCGTTTTGGTGCGAGTTGCCTCGTCTTGGAGACGTTGGCCGTGAACATGTCGGCAGCCTCCTCACCTGCAACAATGATGAGGTGCAGGCAGTAGATGAGGGAGCAGGTGTGTGTGGTGTACTCCAGGGTGGAGAGTTTGTTCCAGACACAGGGCTGCTGCAGGGCCAGACACAGACAGGACAGAGCCCACTGCAGGTCCACACTCAGGGGCAACTGGTTCTGGAGGAGATGCCACGCTACGACCTGGACGAGGAGAGAGAAGTGATCACATCCAACATCAAGATACAAACACGTCCAACATGAGAATATCAGTAGATCGATTGAGATGAAACTACGGGGTCTTCATCCACTAGATTCATTATTAAACCACTTTACTACTATTCTACGATGGAGAATGACAGAAACATTTTCTCTCAAATTATAAGCAAGAAACAGTCGAACAAGTAACGAAACTAAATCACATATTTAAAGTGACTACATTGTGTTTCGGTGGGACTTTCACACGTAGTCTTCTACCTCGGCAGCAGTGCAGGTGAAAGTAGTGATGAGGTGTTCCTTGTCAGAGGAGATGTGTAGTGAGGACGGCAGCTGGCTCACACTCAGCAGGTACTGGGACAGAGCTCTGCAGAGCGACAGAACCCTGGGGTAGAAACCGGGCTCATCTGAAATATAGAGAAGACCTGGAGCTGTAGAGGGAGAACATTCAACAAACATTCTCCTGCTTCTTACACACAATGCAACCGCAACAAATTCATGCTCAATAAAGTCACGTCAAATTGTACAAGAGCTCAAAATTGAAGAGAAATGACTCAATCCGACAGTAAACAATCTCTGCCTCCCTCCCACTCTCACCATACACAGCAGCTAGTTGGTTCCAGTAGGGCTGTGACTGGGCGGGCGGCAGGAAGGACTGGTGGGGGACAGGAAGTGACCCGGTGACCCCTGCGAGCCGCTCTAGGGTCACCTGCAGAGCCGTCTCCAACAAAAGCGACCCCTGACCTCGTGCTAACCGCTGCATCCCCATACTGAGACATGGACACAGCAGGCTTAGGTTGAACTCCTGGGGAGGGGGGGGGGGGGGGGGGGGGGGGGGGGGGAGGCCAGGTTCAGATGCCACATTTTCCAATTTGAATGAATCAATATGCTCGACACTATTTATCTGGAGGTCTGATCTGGGCCCTGCAGTCTGTGTCACCTTGCAGCTCATGATGTCAAATAGGTCAGTGGGCAGTAGTTTGGTGAGGAGTTCTGTCGTCTCCAACAGGGAAACGTCTCCACGAAGACAACACTGAGACTTCACCAGAGCCACGTACCACTCCTGAAGACAAGATCAGATCATGAAGAGAAAATATTTATACCTCCTGTTCTGAATTTATTCAGGATCAATAGACAGCAAAGACCAATCGCTCACCTTATCTGCAGAGACCAGCTCGGGGGCAGGTGGTGGATCCCCATCCAAGGGGTGTGACGTCACAGGAGCTGTGGGGCTGCTGGTGCCGGCAACCGTGGCTCTGAACCTGTCCAGCAGGGAGTAAAACCTCTGATGCCTGCGTTAACAGAGGTAGACAGAGGTTATTTTTGCATTATTTGGAGAATCCAAGGAACAAAAACTGCCTCAAAGCTGCATTACATACTCATGATCTGGTCTGAGCAGATGGGGAACGCAATGTTTAACTCAGTTTGACTTGTGCATCTTCTGGTGTGTGTGTGGTTTTTATTTTATAGTCCTTTGTTCTGCTTTTTACGAGATGTTAATAATTGTAAAATGTGCAAACTATTCCTCAAATTTGCTGACAAGACAGAAGAGCTTCACCTCTGAGCCAGGCCGCTGGTCTGGAGGTATTCCTGGATCCGGTCCAGTTCTTCCACAGGCAGCTGAGCCACACTGTTCTGCAAAGTGGAGACAACAACACATGATCAACTAAATAGAAAACTGACACAGACATCTACTGAGCTACAATAATTTAACAAAACAAGCTCACAGACAAACTGGAAGCTGTGATGATAAAATAGAATTCATCAAATGTTCGGTTTACAAGCGAGCTCCCTTGTGACAAGAAAATGCAAACTAATCCGTAAGCTGTACCTGTAGCGTCTCAGCCAGCAGCATCTCCACTCTGCGACACGCCAGTGTGTCCACCATGCGAGCCAGAACCCTGAAGGGAGTACTGAGCAGCTTGTCCACGTACAGCATCAGCAGGGAGCCAGACTGACTCAGGTGGATGCCTTCCAAACACTGCAGAGTCTTCTTCAACGTGGTAGGCTGCAAAAGGGGGAGAGGAGTCAGTTAAGAAGGCAGAACAACAACAACAACAACAGGAGGAGAGCAAAGCGGCAGGGCCGTGAAAGAAGGGGAAAAGTTAGAATCACACCAGTGTTGATCAACTGAAAAACAAGAACACCGGGCGACCAAATCAAGAGGAAAAATGGTCACAACAGGATAAATAGAATAGAAGAAGATTTCCAGTAGTGAGAGGTACTGGGCAACGTCAACAGAGAGGGGAAAGAGTAGTTGGAGGATGGAAAGGGAGGAGCTAACAGGGCGTGATCTTACAGTACTGAGGTTGTCACAGCGGGAGTGGATGGCCTGGATGAAGAGGCCGCTGGCAGCTGAGTTGCGGTGCACAGCGCTGATGAAATCCTGCACTGGAGGTTCATGGGAAAGGCTGATGAGGTCACGCACGTGGTTGACAATCAGCCAGGTCAGATGCTCCGAGTCATGGAGGTTCTGACACTATTTCATCCGTGAGAAAAATTTAAATTACATGTCGACTTAAAACAGAGGTTTGTGTAATGAAAACATTTTTGATGATTGTTCAAATATTTTGAACGACTCTCACCACATAGTCACAGAAGAGGATGAGGGCTCCCCTGCGTACGATCTCTCGGTTGACCATAGCTAACCGCGCCTCGGGCGTGTCCTCCTCTCCTTCCCCTGAGGAGTGAGGACTCAGCAGCTTTGTGCACGAGAGGCTGTGTCCCCTGAGAGAGAAGGATGGAGACAGGGTAGTTTGTTAAGAGATGCAGCACCGTGCTCACAGGGATTTAATTTTGGACAATTTGCTGCACTACAAATTGACTTTTTAGATCCCTTTTAGTCTTGCAATTTATAATAATTGTGTTTGTTTGTGATACGATGAACCCTTTAGCAGAAATAAACGCTGATGAGGCACTCACCTGGGTGTTTGGTGCACCTCAGCCCACCAGGAGTAGTTGGTGTAGTCGATGATGAGGAGGACCTGGCACCAGAGCAGCACCAGAGAGGGGTGGGTGGTGATCAGGCACTGCACCAAGCTGTTCAGCCCCTCCAAGGGGTAAAACAGAGCGGCCTCTGCGCCGGTCTGTCCACCTCCACCCTCACCCTTTAGGAGACGAGTAGCTGCAGCGGTGATCCTGCGAAACATTCCTGAAAGCGAAAGGAAAACAAAAGACGAAATGGGTCAAGTCAAGACCAGCATTAACATCATGCAACCGATTTGGTGGAATGTAATGAATTTAATTTTAAAGCTTAATATCCATCCAAAATGACTATTGACATGATATAAAGCTCACCACTTTTGAAGACATGTATGAGACACATGAGCAGTGTGCCCAGCTGCTGGCAGTAGAAGGTGTGTTGCTGCTCTGTAATGTCCACTTTAACCTGTCTGGAGGAAATGTCCTCCAGCAGCACTCCTACCAGCTGGAGAAGGAACCTGGAGAGAGGGAATAGAGGAGAAGGTGAAGAAAGAAGATATGCATGGAAGCAACGTAGTGGTTGAAAATAAAAACACCCCTCAATCCTTACGTCAGAAGCACCCTAAAACCACACTCACTGACCTGGCAAAGGTTTCCTCAGGCGGGGCCTTTTGTGCCTCACCGACAGGCTCCTGGTCGACGAGTGTGTCGGCAGTGGGCGGGTCACTCGGGGAGAGGCTCTGCTGATGCAGGCGACGGATTGTGTGGCAGGAGAGGAGATGCGGGGTGAGAGACAGCTCGTGGACCCGTGACAGGACAATGTCCTCAGTGGACTGGGAGACGAGTACCCGGAGCACCGCCAGGATACCGGACACCCACAGCTGGACTGTAGCTACCGACGCCTGGAGGAGCACAGGTTTGAGTTCAAGTCAAAAATATATATTTTGCCATCACTTAACAAAAAGAAGACACGGCGTGTTAAAGGGAAATTTCTAATTTCTGTTCAAGTGTACGCTGTATTCGTAATATTTCCACCGCTTTACCGTCAAACAGCCTTTTCCGGGGAACTGAAGCAGTTCATCTTTGCGCTCTACAAATCTACACGACTCCGTTGACAGAAACACTCATTTTACCGGTCAGAACACGAACGTTGATGGTCTATCGCTGCCTCGGTCCGTTAGTTCGTGTTATTGGTGACTTTGGTGTTTTTAAAGGGTTAGTTCGGATTAATCAAAAATCACACAATAACACAAACAAACTAAGCAACGGAGGCAGCGGTAGACCAGCAACTTCCCGTGTTCTGCAATGTAAAACTACCATTTTTGTCGAAGAAGTCAAGAGAGCATAGACTCTGTTCCCGTTCCTGTACTCCTGAGGATAAGTACCTCATACAGACACACTTCAAAACATCTGAACTATCCCTTTAAGTAGATCAGATAGTCACATCTAAAGTCTACCCAGATCTCACCATGGTTATCGGGGTGGTGAACATGCTCTTGAGCAGCATGTCTACCGGTCTGAGAGAGGAGGGCGCTACCGTCTCAAACAGAGTGTTCAACACTCCCAACGCCTCCGGAGAGTCCAGGTGCATCTGTGAGGACACAAGATACAAATACATTTACTTCAATCAACTTTACTTTAGACACATGGGTCCATTCAAATAAATAAAAATTTAAATTTGTACATAAAATTCCTCAACACAGCATGAAAGGTGGAAACATTACTCGTCACAAACATATGACTTGCACACGTCCATCTTGGGAGCTGTAATTAAATCAAATTATTGACCAGTTCATTTAATATCACGGACTGTTGGCTGATTCTCATTTAGTCTGGGATAAGGTCTAAAACATATTCATGGAATCAGCACCTTTTCTTTGCCCCTGAACACAATTCATCTCCAGCAGTGTCTTGTAGGATATTCCACATGACCAGCTTAGTTTCTTAGTGTTTGAACCAACATACTTCCGGTTGTTTACATTTTTTCCTTGTGATTTCCAAGATCGGTCAGATTTTTTTTTTTCCGGAAAAAATAAATGAATTAAAATCACTATAATGCAAGGAGTTATGTGAGGGAGTTCGTTGTGTCTCAAAAGGATCAGGCAAGATGACACCCAGCTGGTATAGAACTGTGTGTGTATGAAGATGTATGGAACCATCGCACAGAGAACCCGATGCCTTTACAGGCCCTGTCGGCAGGAACCAGCCTCACTCTGTGTGGAGTCGCACCGGCTGCAGCACACTGCTCAGTGTTGGAACCATAAAGACTGCCACACACACACACACACACACACACATGCAATGAATGTGACCGTTCAATAAAACTAAAATCTACAACCAGAGACATAAAGTAGACTACTGACCTGTTGTACACAAACAGTAGCCATGGTTGGTTCTCTGGAGAAACAGGACTTGAGGTAGCCCAAGATCTCCTCCACACACTGATAGAAGACATAATTCAATGTATTCATTCACTTAATGTGAACAGTGGTGAAAAATGATATAAGTTAATTTGCTTCCATCAAGTGCAATCATCCAGAATCACTTTCGTCCTGCTGCCACTAACATTTTATCAATGTGTGATTTCCAATCGAGCGGACGTCACGTCTTTACCTTACTGATGTCATGCAGTGTGGCCAGCTCCAGGAGCTGAGAGAGAACATCGAGAGTAGCTCGCAGGAAACCTCCAAACTTCTCCTGGCTGCTGTGGAGGTCCAGCGTCACCTAGGAGATACAAAAACAAACAAACACACACGAAATATGAACACCACCATCCACCGCCATCCAGCCTACTAAAACCTGAAGAACCCTTTTGTGTCACGATAGGAAGCAGTGTTCAGACCTTGAAGTTGGCATGTGTGGCTTTGAGGACGTCATAGAGCTTGAGGTAGGGGGGCAGGTGGTAGAAGTTGCCGAAGGTGGTAGATTTGTTTATGGCGGTTGTGCTGTCTGCTGGCCTGCCTGCTCACAAAAAGCAAAACATCAAACTTTTCATATATTCCCAGACACGTCACAGAGACCATCTTCACCTGTCATTGGTCAGGTGTGCCTGTACCTGTGTTGACCTCGTTGCTTTTCTTTGGGCTCATAGGAGCAGCACTGGGCTCAGCAGCATCCTTCTCCTTGCCTTTTCTGCGGATGGGACTGAGGGAGGGGGTGTTGCTCAGGGAGGGGAGGGTGGCCTAAAGAACAGAGTACAGAAAGTGAACTCCTGTGGAAACAACTTAGTCATAAGCAGATAAATTAAAGTAAAACGTGTCTTAAAAACAATCACTTCTGACTTGGAGCCATTTAAAAACAAAGACTATAAACAGTTACCTTCACCGCTGGTCCCGGTGGTGTGTCATCCAGCACATGGGCACAGATGTTGAGGATCTTCAGCAGGTGAGAGAAGAGCTGCTCCACCATGGCCACCAGGGAGCGCTCCGACAGCCCCGCCCATGGCTCCTCCATCTTATTTGGGTTGGGGTTCGTGCCTTCTTCCTCTCCGGCCCAGGGGTTGCGCATGCATTTCGGGGCCACAGCTGGGAACATGATTAAGGGGCATGTTAACCGATAACAGGTGACTGCTTTTGTCTCAAAGTTCTGTTTGAGTGAATATAATATATTTCAAGCTTCAGGTAAAATCTCAATGCATCTATTACCCACCAGCTAGCAGATTGCCAGAAAGCAAAAGTGCATCCTGGTGTGAAGAAAGATCCAGTGGAAACCAGGCAGAGGAGAGTAAAGAGAGGACCATGTTGGCCATTCCGACTGTCAGAGTCCTCCGCTCGTTATCTGGTGCGGATGAAGAGGCTGAAGCACCGCTAGGCTGTGACACACTGCAGAACAGAGAGACAAAGACAGAAGATAAGCAGGTGTAAAAAGGGAAAGAAATGAAATGATGAGAAAGAGTAATGTCGCATTTAATGAACAAGCAAAGGATGAATTCACAAGACAGAGAGGGTACACAAACCTAAGGGCCCGGCCTCTGCTGCGGCTGAGACTAGAGCGGGAAGAAAAGCTGCTACTGGAGCTAACATAGCCACAGTGCCAGCCTGTACTCCAAGTGCACACTGGGAAATTTAAAGCCAGGAGGCACAAGGCTTCACAGCAGCCAAACTGCAGAGAAACAGACAAATGAAGTGTATTTTAACATGTTGTCAGAAAAACAAAAACGCACAAGAAACATTTTATACAGCAGGCAAAACAAGTGTTCTGTGCGAGTGGAAGCTCACAGTCAGGGCTCTGGAGGAAGAGGAGGTGAACGCATGGGAGACGGCGGTCACGACTCTGGACAAGTTGTTCTCGACTGTGACGTCAGACACATTGTTGGACAAGTTGTAGCCCCGGTACGTCCTGGCAGACAAACAAACGAGCAGAGTTCCTCAGATATTGTGTTCTGTGATTTTGAACCATTTGGACTTAATTTCAAAGTCCTGATAGTCTGTACATAACAACTTACTGCGTTTACCATAAAAAGAACAAGTGACCAAGTATCCTGAGAATCATTTCTTAGCAATAGAATGGCACTGAGCGCCTATGAGATGCGACACCAAAGGAGTGAGTGTCTGTGTGTCCATGTACCTTGTGATTGTGCTAACTGTGAACTGGGAGGGGGGTTGTGTCTCATGCATCAGCAGCTGCAGGTAGACTGAACTCTGGTCCCGGGCAATAGCCACTACTGGGTCCCCTTGACCCTGGTCACAGTCATAGAACAACCTGGAAACCAGCCTGGCAGAGAGACATGTGGGGCGGATGAGAGGAAAAGGAAGAGGGAGACATTAGAAAGACTTTGGTGCACCTAAATTAAAAGTAAAGACGCACCAGTCTGGAGCCCAGAATACAGTACATGAGATGAGATAGTATACCTGCTGACAGCAGAGGCAGCCACGTGCCGGACTCTGGGGTCATCATCTCCCAACAGACGGATGACCACATCATTAAGGACTCTCTCCTGCAGCCGCAGCCGCTACATAGAGAAGAATGTGGAATTAGTCAACTTTTAGGATACACACTGCACGCGTTTGTGTCTAAAAACAACTAATTCCACATGAAGACGACAGGAAAGGAGAAGTTACCCCAGTGTAGTGATGATCCCCTTTGTGCAAAGTCTCCGTTTTCCTCTCCAGGAAATTAACTAACCTAGAAGAGGAAAGAGTGAATGTCTTAAATAGATTTTTAAAAATTTCAAAAAAAAAAAACTTTTTTCACTTCGTCATTATGGTTAGAGTGATTAGAGCAAGTAGCTCCAGGAACACAGAAAAAAGATCTAAATTGATTTTTACCGAAAGTCCATCTCAGCCAGGGTCTCCAAGAGCTCCGTGCGAACAAGCCAATAGGACGAGTCCCTCAGAGCAAGAAGGTTTATCACCAACTGCAGGCCGAGCTCACTCAGGGTACTGCTGCACACAGTCATGAGGCAGTGCTGGAACACACATCAAAAAGGTCAGCCTCAAACACACACACACACACACACACACACACACACACTACTGGCACACTCATACAGACACACTCACCCTCACTGCAGAGCAAGCCATCTTGCAGGTGACAGAGGATTCATCTTTCAGAGTTTTCTGGAGCAAAGGCACCAAGTCCACCAGGGACAGAGGGTTACCTGAAGAGAAAGGTGTCATACAGGTGAAAGAGAATCATTAAATGATATCCAAACATTGATGATGTCAGCACCAAGAAAAACACACCTGTACAAATAAGAGAAGATAGAACTTTATCAATCACGACGGAAATAGACACAATAGAATAACAAAACTAACACACATATATATATATATACTGTATACAAACAATATAATAATTATTAAGTCTAAAATAAATAATACTGACACCATTGCAAAACAGAATACAATAGCAATAAGAGTAAATAAAGGAAAAGTATCCCCCCCCCCCACACACACACACACACACACACACACACACACCAACCTGTTGCACTCTGCACGCTGGCCAGCCAGGTGTGTATGTTGTAGCGTGTTTTGGTGAGTGCAGCTTGTATGATGGCTGCACAGAGGATGGCTGTGGCCCCTCTGATCTGGGGGTCCCCATGGGCAATGAGGCCCAGCATGTCACTGATGTACTGCTGCTCTGCAAGGGGACAGAGAACGAGAGCGCACGGTCAAAGACGCTGCGGAAGAACATACAGTTGTCAAATAATGCATTTTGTAACTCCCACTGCAAAAGAAGAATGCAGTGCAGGCCTTTTACGCACAAGATATTGTGACATGGAGAAGTACATTTTAAATAATAAAATCAATGACGGCTGAATTGCATTTAGGTGCTTTAGATTCAGGGTCCTGGTATTGTGCATGCTGACTCACCGTCACACCGCCATGCATTAGTAGGACATAGATAATGTTATTAGTAATACCCGTTTCTCCTACTACGACGAGTCAAAACAGCGATACGTTATTTTAAGTTTTTTGCTCATGATGGATATTAAAGAACGCTAGACTCAGTCCTCTGGCGTCTCTGTTTGTTTTGTTGAAACTGGCCTGTTCAGGTGTCTCACATCATCTAAATAGGATTGTCTTTTATTTTTGTTTGCCCTTACCTTCAACCGGGATGCCGTCCAGCGGCTCCAGGTAGAGGGAATTAAAGAAGGCTTCAGGGTGCAGCGCTGCTGCTGCCCCAACACAGCTGACCGCCAGAGCCTTCACGCTCACTCGCACCTCCTTGTCAGGGGTCAGACCTGGGAAAACATAGCAAAGACACACACACACACACACACACACACACACACACACACACACACACAAAATGGTGTAAAACAAAACAAGAAAGTCAGACAAACAACTGACAACATTGTGTTGAGACTGTGTCTCTAAATGTTCATAGTTTAAAATACTGTTTGGTAAAAACAAGGTTCATAGGTTTTGTATCATAACAGTGTCAATAAAATTCATTCCTGATTGGCCAATCAAACCGTGATGCCTCTGAACGTCTGCAGCTGTTAGGTTTTATTATGGTTTATTTATTAAGGCTGTCATCATAGACACACCCTGCTAATGGTCTTATTGCCAAGTCAACAGACATTGATATTTCTTGTACCTTTTTTAAACATAACACTATTTTTTGATTATAAAAACATCGACAGATTTCTGACAGATCTGGAGTCTCAGATTTTCTGAAGCTAATAATTCTGTCTACTCTTAACCGTAAAGATATTATCGGTTACTATGATAAGCAAGATGTTGGCGCTCTTGAATATCCGATCCATTTCTTTATTCTATGTCATTTATTTTACAGATTTCTTTTAAAGTTCCCCTAAGACTAAAACCTCTATGAAGCAAAGTTACCTTTAACTGAGTTTCCCCGAGAACTGAATTCTCTACTTGAATCAGTTTATTGAACAACAGGAATCTGTGTGGTTGGTACTTAATTGGACTTAGGACGACATTATTATTAAACACACATATTGTATATTTTGAGCAGTTTTGATAACCCTCACCATTCTTTTGTCCCGTCAGTAGGAAGGAAGCAGCAAGAAGCCGTACACAGTGCACCAGCGGCTCCACCCCCTGGTCAGTATAATGTCCAATGGGACCCTTTATTCGTGATGGCTAAGAAACAGTTAAAAGTTAAAGACAGACGCATAAGAACTTTGCTTTCTTTACCTTCTGGTGAGACAAACTAGCATGATGTTTTCCGTGTGTGTTCACCTTATTGTCAGGTTGGGGTTCAGCAGGTTCATCCTTTGGTACGAAGCGGTCCACGCTGCTGTCTGAACACTGCCGGTTGTGACCTCGGCCTTCGAAGAGATGAGGTTTGCTCAGCGCTGCACACAATCAGACAAGCACACAGAGAAACAACAAGTAAGCTTAAAAAAAGCTTTATATCAATAAGCAGAACTGGTGTTCGGTTGGTTAGAACCAGTGTTTTTGTATGCTCAACTGCGTACGTACGTACGTACGTACACACACACACACACGCACACACACACACACACACACACACACACACACACACACACAC